AAATAAATAAATAAATAAAATCTTACATGGAGCTTCAATATATAAAACAATAAAAGGGCATTTTAAAAGTATAAATGCATTTTGTAAGTCTTCTGTAACAATTATGAAACAAGGATCAATGAGGCTGATTTAAGAAATAAAAACTTGAAATTTGGGGTTAGGATGATAGTTACAATCATGTCAGCCTCGGCATTTGATTTTATTTCCATTGGACAGTTTTGAGAAAATCCTAATTCACTGAGTTTAAATTTTAGATTTTTTTAAAGTTTCAGTAGATTTTTAAAGCTGTTTTTAGCTTAAATTTCAATAGACTTTTTTTAAGCAGAGTCTCACTATGTAGTTCAGGCTGGCCTTTAAGTCACTATATAGCCCAGGCTGGCCTCAAACTTGTGGTAATCCTCCTGCCTCAGCCTCCCAAGTGATAGGATTATAGGCTTGTGCCACCATGACCAGTTTAAATTTCAATAGATTTTTAAACAGACTGTCTTGCAACCTCAGGAATTTAATAAATCAGAGCTGGCAAGTGAAACTTATCTCCTGATTCTATATTAAAAAGTTACCTTTAACACTTGCAAAATTGATACCTGCTATGTGCTACAACTTGGTATAACATATTTGAATATGAGTAATCCTATAATTTTGTTGTTGTTGTTTTTGTTTTTAAACAGGGACTCGCTCTATAATTCAGGCTGGCCTTGAACTCACTATGTAGCCAAGGGTGGCCTAGAACTCACAGTGATCCTCCTGCCACAGCCTCCTCAATGCTGGGATTACAAGCGTGCACCACCATGACCGGCAAGGTAAAATATTTTTAAATAAAATTCTTATTATCTTGCTTCCCCTAAGTACTTCTAGAGAATCTCTAAACATAATTAGAAAATTTCTCACACTAGAGTAACCCTTAATTTAGTTGTTACACAGCACAATTTTAATTTTTTTAAAGGCAATTTCACATTAAACCAAAAGTTCAAAACCAAAATAGGCACTGGAACTTCCACAGTGCAGCAGCTTTCATTTTCGTTTTAAGGATAGTACTTTTGCATCATCATTTACCTAACAAATACCCATCAGGTTACAGAAGAGCTTCTCTGGGCAGATCCTGCAGGACAGATTACCCACCTCAGTGGCCTTTCATGTGCCCAGCCTCAATATCAGTTTCCAAACCATCTTCAAGGCATATGAACAGTGATATGTATTCAGCACAGAATAGCCTAGCAAGAACAGTTATACAGTGGTACCTTGGTTCACGAACACTTTTGTTTGAAAACAATTTGGTTCACAAACAGAAGCATTTGGCAAATTTTTGGTTTTGTCTGCAAATTCTGCATTAGGTGACAAACACGACAGCAGCCATCTTTCCAACACGTGGTCATCTTTTCTAAAACTGTAGAACAAACTAAGTTTGTGAACCAAGGTAGCACTATACTAGTTTTTGGAGACCTCAAACATAAAGATTAGACAAAAAGAAAAATTAGGAATATCTGCTCCTAGCCAGGTATGGTTTCCCATACCTATAATCCCAGCACTAGAGAGGCCGAGGCAGGAGGATCACCACAAGTTCAAGGGCAGCCTGGGCTATATAGTGAGCTCAAAGCCACCCTGAACTGCATAGGGAGACCCTGTCTCAAAAAAAGAGAGATGCCAGGGATTTAGCTCAGTGGTGCCACCACCCACCTCCCAAGCACAAGGTCCCGAGTTCAATGCCAGGTACAAAAAAAAGAAAGAAAGAAAGAAAGAAAGAAAGAAAGAAAGAAAGAAAGAAAGAAAGAAAGAAAGAAAGAAAGAAAGAAAGAAAGAAAGAAAGAAAGAAAGAAAGAAAGAAAGAAAGAGAAGAGGTAAGAGTGCTGATAGGAGACTTTTGAGAGAATGTAATGGGTTGGGTCTAGATGTACCCACAAAGCCTCATGAGGTCATAGGTGGGGCTTTTTCAGAGGTAGCTGAATCTAGAGGGTGTGATGCTGAGATTAAGGGTATGAGATTACCAAATCAGTCCACTGATTCGTTTGGCACTGCCCTAATCCCAGTAGCCTGGATACAATATAAGGGACAAAAAGAAACTTCACTTCTCCCTTGTTGCTTTTCTACCTTCTGCCCGCCATGAACTGTTTCTCCTCTTCGATGCCCCTCTGCCATGTGCCACTCTACCTAGGAGCCAGCCAATTATGAAATGAAACCTCTATAAACTGTGAGCTAAATAAACCTTTCCTCCTTTAACTCTGGGTATCCAGTGTCAGAAGCAATTCTACATAATTTGGGGGAAAAATCATTTCACAATTAAATTATATTGGCCTAGTCTTCTTGCCTACAGGCCAGCTATGACATGCAGAGACATAACTCCATTTTTGCCTCCAGTCACAACTGAGACCTCAATGGTCCTGGGATGCTGTGATCCTCAAGGGCAAGATTACATCAACAGAAGACATCCTAGTTCTTTGAGAAGTGAGTAGAAATGTCTCACCTGGGGAGGGACAAATTCCTTATCAGCTTAACTCATCCCACCTGCTGTTGTAAGAACGTCTTTGCTCATTTTACCATCCTCATCGGCATAAGATCCTCATTCCCTATGAACCCAATAAATAGTGGCAAGCTTGGGGTGCCTTCATCTTTGCTGCTCAGAGCTACATTGATCAGGCCCAAAGCTCAGCTTCTTCTCTAAGTCTCATTTCCTGTCTTTATTCATTAATTTGCCTTGTGCTGTCATGGCTCACAGGAGACCATGACTCACTGCAGGGGTTCTGGTAAACTAAGACAGAGAGTGTCTATCTTGGCAAACGAGATGGACACATCAATATCACGAGCTACTTCTCCACTTTCTCTTTGCTTTGAATGCAGAGATACAGCAGCCAACTTGCAACCATGAAAGACCAAGGGCACAGCAGAGTGGCCAGAACAGGACCGAGAGCCCTGGCTTCAATAAACTGATGAACCAATTGCCTACTTCTGAACCTTTCCTATGAGGAAAAATTAGCCTCTATTTATTTTAGCCCCTGTGAGTTAGATTTGTTATTTGCATCCAAAATCATCTCTAACTTATGTACCCCATATGTGACATGTCCCACACAGCCTTGCAAATTCTTTTTAGTCCCTTAGCGTGTTTGCACTATGTGAAATGTATAGCTGTCGTCTCTTTTAATCACAACAACCTCATGAGGTAGATACCATTCTCCTATTTTACAGATGAGGAAACTGAGGCACAAAGAGGTTAAGTAGCTACTATGTACTATAATAGTATACTGCCTTACATTACTACTTAACTGTTCTCCCTTAAAATTTTGAAGTCCTTAAATGCAGAAGCCACATTTGCTCAAAACATACTTGTTAAATGGAAAACCAAAGTGTGGAAATGTCTACAGAAACTGGGCATATGGGGATTTTATCCTTGACTTAACTCTCTGAGTCCTGCATCCTGCCATGGATCCCTATTTAGCCACTGGTCAAAGGAGTCGTCTGGGCCAGGTGGGTTACACAGATGAGGTTGACCCCGTCGGACACCACCGGACTCTACCCAAGAGGTGGAGCCCACAGCAAGCTGCCCAGTGATCTAGTGGGCAGGGGGCACTGGAGGTGCTGAGTGAGGTCATGAAAAGCTACCGGCATTTAGGAAATGATAAGCAAAACCAAAAGGCAGGCAAGTACCACCTGTGCCATTTCAGAGGGACACCAGTGTTACACACTTATCAAAATGTTCATGAATTTTTTTAAAATGTGGAGACTGGGTAGGGGGTGGACTGGTGATTCCATTTCACCATTTTATAACCTAAAGGCAACAGTTAACATCCAACAAATAGAGGGATCTTCTTTTCACTTGATAATGATTTGTCTCTTCTCATTACTATTGTTATATCAGTACCAGTATTAGGCACTTGCAGTGCAGTGCCGTAGTGGATTGAAGTCCTCCCTCTAACTCAGTTGTGTGTTTATATCACAGCCACAGCTGGGCATGGTGGCACATGCCTATAATCCCAGCATTCAGAAGGCTGAGGCAGGAGGATCACTGTGAGTTTGAGACCAGCCTGGACTACATAGTGAGTTCCAGGCCAGCCTGGGCTACATAGCGAGACTCTGTCTCAAAAAACAAAACAAGGGCTGGAGATTTAGCTCAGTGGCACCTCGTCTGCCTTGCAAGCATGAGGTCCTCAGTTTGATCCCTGATACTGGAAAAAAAAACCTATATTACAGCCACAAGACAGTGGGAGAAATACCTGCCTCCTAGGTTGCTGGGAGGGTCAAACAAGATATTGGACATGAAAGTGCTGTATCAGTAATAAAGCTCCAGACACATGTTGGGGGTTACAGTTATTCACAACCACTTCCAACACCAGTGGCTCAACCCATCATTCCTTACCCAGCATGCACCAGCATGTATGAGAGGAACCTCCAGGATTCCTCCCTCTTGTCAGGTCGGTAGGTAAAGGGACTGTCCAAGATGCCCGTGTCCAAGGTGATCCACTGTTTCTGGGGCTTCCACACAGCATAGTAAATAAACACAGCCAGCTGAACAGAAGGGGCAGATAGGAAGGTTAACCACAACTTCTCCAGAGAGGGCCCCCAAAACCCCACGGGCAGTAACAGTTTCAGTAATGAGCACCCCAGTGGACTCACAAGATGACAGCAGTTGAGGTTGCCACCATCCCCCACCATGGTCCTACCCTGCTTCCCACCATGATGAAGAGCAGCGGTAGACCAAACTGTAAAGAAGACTGTTTCTAAATTCCCTTTCCTCTGCTCTTCAACACCCTACTGTCTAGCACTGTTCTCTAACACTCTTATCTTCTTTCATACCCACTGTCTTCACCCTTCCACCCTTACCATCTGATCTTTCATTTACAAGTACAACGTTTTTTGTTTTTTGTTTTTTGAGATGGTCTTGCTATGTAGTTCAGGCTAGACTTGAACTCACTATGTAGCCCAGGCTGGCCTCGAACTCACCATGATCCTCCTGCCTCAGCCTCCTGAGTGCTGGGATTACAAGCATGAGCCATCATGTCCCTCACAAGTACAATTAATATGAAAGTAACTCAATGCTGGCTTCCAAAGAATAAAATAAGGAAATAGGAAAATAGTAACTTTACAGTGAATAAAAACTAAAAATATAGTAACTACAATGGATAAACCTGGCAAAAATAGTAACTTTACAATGGATAAACTGCCTTGATCAAGGGATGAAGGTCAATGTCCCATGGATGTTCTCTACTCCCTAATGTCATGTGAGGCGAAGGGCACTTCACCTCTTTGCTGTTCTTCCCCAAGCCTGTAACTCTGGTCTAATCATGAGAAAAACATCAGACAAACCCAGACAGGGAGGATATTCCATAGGATACCTGGCCAGTACGAGTCAAGATTATCAAAGTCACAAAAGACGACAACTGAGAAGTTGTCACAGATCAGAGAAGCTGGGGAGACACTAAATGTATGGAGGGTGCTTGGATTGGAGGGTACCAGGGGAACAGGAAGAAGACATAAATAGAAAGACTGGTAAAATCCAAGTAAACTCGGGAGTTTAGTCAATAGTACAAGTTGAGCATTTCTGATCTGAAAATCTGAAATCCAAAATGTTCCAAAATCCAAAAAGTTTTGAGTATCATGTTGGTTCAGATTTTGGACCATTTTGGGTTTGGATTTCCAGATCAGAGATATTCACATATTCTGAAAACAGAAAAACTCTGGAATCTAAAATATTTCTGGTTCCAAACATTTCAGATAAGGGATACTCAATTCATAATATACCAGCATTAGTTTCTTAGTTTTGACCAATGTACTATGGAATTATAAGATATTAACAATTGGACAAATTGGGTGATAGGCATTCAAGAACTCTCTGTTCTGGGCCGCGGATGTAGGTCAGTGGTGCCACACCTGTCTGGCAAGTACAAGGTCCTGAGTTCAATTCCTGGTACCGAAAAAATAAAAACAAACAAACTTCTCTGTTCTATCTTTTCAATTCTTCTATAAAGTTAAAATGATTCCAAAACAAAAAGTTTACTTAGGGAGTAGGGATGTAGCTTAGTGGTAGAGTGCTCGCAAGGTGCTGGGTTTGATCCCCAACACTGACAATAAAAAAATCACTTGAAAACTTAAAACGTGGTGCCACCACCTGCCTCAAAACTGCAAGGTCCCAAGTTCGATCCCCAGTACCAAAAAAAAAAAAAATTAATAAAAACTAACCTTCTGTAAGAGGCAGATAATCTTGGCACTTGCTCCTGACCCAACTACAGGAAATGGCCTGTCCCATAGCATTCACTGTCTAGCAGTCATGTTTTACCCACATGATCTCATCCCTTTTTTCTCCATCCCTCCTCCTAGTCCTTCACACAATCCGGGGAAGAAAGCAGCGGCATCAGTGGGATTTAAGAGGATTACGTTGGGGATTATGTTGGGGTTGTCATAATGCCCCTTAGATCACACCCCACAGGCAGTTGTGCTCTGCGATTCCAATATGGGGCATCACAGTACAGGAGAAAATGCTCTGCCTCCTGAGGCTCAGGAGGAGCCTGGCCCTGGTGCAGTCACTAAGATGTGCCCTTGGGCGAGTCACCCACCTCCAGGTAGACTGACCAGATCTGAGTCTGAGAATACACCCTTTGCTGCCCTATTTAGACATCCTCAGAGAATCTTACTTTTCTCCTCTGAAATTTGAGGCAGCCTGATTCTCCTAAATGTATGGCCCTAGACAGACCTTGCCAGTCAATCTAAACTGACTCATGAGATAAAGCCAATCGGCAACTCCAAGTTTTTTTGGTTTCTGAAGCCCCCACCATCTAAGATGAAAAGAAGCCACTGCTGGGCAGGGGATTTGAGAATGAAACCCAAACCTTGGCTGGCAATGGCTGCCCGTGGGAAGACAGGACAGGCAGCTCCAGGAGGTGTGGAGTGGAGGCTCAGCGTGTGCTGTCCGTGTCCCTGCCACACCCTCTTCTCCTCGCTCCCCGGCCTCTTCTCCTGATCTAGGTCTTTCTTGCCCCTCCTCGGCTTGCAGCTCCCCGTGGGAATATAGGCTTGTCCCCACCGCAGCCCGAATGCACCTCAGCCAGGCTGATGGAGATGATAAACACAGGCGGGGGGAGGCAGCTCGCTCTCTCCAAGTAAGTTCCTCGGACCGGTTCAGGAAGCATCCACTTTGAGACGATCCTGTGGACCTTTTTGCTCTTGGGAGGATAGTTTCTGTCTCCGTCCTCTCTCATCTTCTCTTCCTCTAGCTCTTCTTCTCTTCTCTCTCTCTCGAGATTCATGCTCTCCATCTCCAGGTCAGGAGCAGCAGCCATCGATCGTCCTGGGTCCTCCCTCTATCTGCAAGAGACAGGAATGTCAGAGAAACATGGTGACCCTCTGATCTCCAGGGTGTGGCTCTTTCCTGGGCTCCAACTGCTGTTTTCCCAGACCTTTCTTGTGCTGATGGGAGGCAGCTAAAGATGATCAAAATGGTCTGAACCTCCTACATGGCCCAAAATAAAGTTTGCACTGTTTTTTAATCATTTTTATTAAAAACATGGACTCTAATACTCCTATGCATTAGGCGTGTAATAAATTTTGTCTGTTCTTTTCCCTATAAGTTAATTAACGAAAATTAAAAAAAAAAAGTTAAGCATGGTGGCTTACACCTATGATCTCTACTTGGGAGACTGAGGTAGGAGGATCTCAAGCTCAAGGTCAGCCTGGGCACTTTAGCAAGACCTTATGTCAAAAACTAAAAAGGGCTGGGGATATAGCTCAGTGGCAGAGCACTTGTGTAACATGAATAAGAACCTGGGTTAAGTCACCAGTATTGTTTTTAAAAACCATTTTCATTAAAAATAAAAAGCATGTGGGCTGGGGATTTAGCTCAGTGGTTCCGCTGCCTGCCTTGCAAGCGCAAGGACCCGAGTTTGATCCCCGGTACCAAAAATAAAAAATAAAAAAATAAAAAGCATGAACCAGCAAGGCAAGATGACACAGGTGTAAGCCACCACGCTTAACTTTTTTTTTTTTTAATTTTCGTTAATATAACAAAATTTATCATTTTAAACATTCAAAGTATACAACCCGGTAGCATTGAGTACATTTACAATGTTGTGTAATGGGCCGGGGATTTAGCTCAGTGGTTCTAGTGCCTGCCTCGCAAGTGCAAGGTCCTGAGTTCGATCCCCGGTACCAAAAAAAAAAAAAAAAAAAAAACACATACAATGTTGTGTACCCATCACCACTATAAAGTTCCAAAAATTTTTCATCATCTCCCTCAATAGCCTCCAACCCATTAAGCAGTCCCCCATACCCTCCTCACCCCAGCCCCTGGTAACCACTAATCTGCTTCTTGTCTCTATGGATTTACCTGTTTTGAATATCTCATGTAAATGGAATCCTAGAATGTGTGCCCCTTTGTGTCTGATGTCTTTCACTTAGCAATGATGTTGTCAAGGTTTGTCTATGTTGTACCATGAACCAGACTCCCCTTCCTTTGTATGCATAATACAGCACAGTGCGGATACACTGTATTTTGTGTAGCCATGCATCTGTTGATGGACACTGCGTTGTTTCCACCTTTGGGCTATAGTGAATGAGCTGCTATGTACACCCTTGTACAAGTTTCTGTTTAAGTACCTGTTTTCAATTCTTTAGGACATAGGCCTATCGGTGGCACTGCTGGGTCCTATGGTAAGCCCTACACTCATGGGAAACCCTCAGATGCCAACTTAAAGGGGAGGTGCTAGTGGTTACCTCACAGCATTGTTGAGAAGATTATTTGAGTAATGCAAGCAAAGCTCTTGGGTCGGTAGCTGGCACATAGAAAACACTCTATAATTTTCTTTTTCTTTTTAGGTTCTTTGAGACAGAGTCTCACTCTAATTCAGGCTGGCCTTGAACTAACTGTGTAGCCCAGGCTGTCCTCAAACTCACAGTGATCCTCCTGCTCAGCCTCCAGAATGGTGTCTGCAGCAATTTTTCTACAAATAAAAGCTTCTCCCTTCCCTGAATCTACTCCTGTCTTACTGCCCCACACCCCAGGGTCAGACATTAAGAATGTAAACATAATGGCTGTTATACTCCTTAAATATTGATCATTATTTCTAATTGTACCACTTCTAATTGACAAAACTACAGTGTGGATTTAAGATCAGCAGACTTCAACTACAAATATTAAAGCATTGAAAAAATAAGTTCAGGGCCAGGGATTTAGCTCAGTGGCACCGCTCCTGCCTCACAAGCACAAGGTCCTAAATTCAATCCCTGGTACCGCAAAAAAAAGAAAAAAGAAGTTCAACTAGGCATGATGGTGAATGCTTGTATTCCCAACACTCTGGGAGGCTGAGGAAGGAGGATTGCAAGTTGAAGCTCAGCTTGGGCAACTTAGGGAGACACTCTCTCAAAATTTAAAAAAAAAAAAAGCTGAGAATGTAATGATTAGCAGTGTATGAATAAGTCCCATTGTAAATTTTTGTTTGTTTATTTTTTTGAGGCAGGGTCTCCCTTTGTAGTTCAGGCTGGCCCTGAACTCACCATGTAGCCCAGGCTGGCCTCAAACTCATGGTGATCCTCCTGCCTCAGCCTCTGGAGTGCTGGGATCACAGGCTTGTGTCACCAGGCCATTATCCCATTGTAAATTTAAATTCCATACATGATCATTCATAAGGAAATAAACTTCCACATTAACAATACAATGTTATATTTCTTAAAGTAGCTAGAAAAATATGAATTACATTTTGTTCTAGATTTTCTCTTCCTTCAGATTTCAAGGGCTTGGGGATGTAGCTCAGTGGTAGAACACTAGCCTCGCATGCACAAGATTCTAGCTTTAATCCCTGGCACCCCCAAAGAAAGAAGTAGATTTCAAAACTTCCAGAAATGTTTTTATTTCAAACTCATCATTTTGGGTACACAAATGCCTGAACATATTTCTTGTGCTGAGAAGGTATCTGACCCGTGCAGACAGGCTGGCACAATGAAGAGATCTGGTATGTAATTCCAGCGACTTGAGCCTGTAGCAACAGCTGAGCTCACTGGTAGTGATTTGCTGCCTTTCATTTTTACTTCTCATTAGTCCCCATCATACTCCACTGTTCCTGCCTGTCTCCCTTGTTCCCTGAACACAGGGGGCTCTCTGGCTCACCTTATCTCCAACACCTGGGCCTATGCTGCTCACAGGTGCTTCTCCAGTCCCTGACATTCCCATCCCTCCCACTCCTGTTTATCCTCTGTCCCACACCAGCATTTCTGAGTGGAGTTAACCACCCTGGAAATATTACCAGTCACATCAGCCACAGTGGAAAAGGCTGAGAATATCCCACGCTTGTGAGGCTATGTGGAAATGGGTGCCGTGTATGGGATACAAATTGATGCCATCTTCCAGAAGGCAATGAACAGCTTCTATAAAACCCAAAATGCACATACCTTTTGACAGAACATCTTACTTCTAGAATTCTATCTAGCAAAATATATCTGAGCGAGCACACAAAGCTATATTCCAAGGATGTTCAGGGCAGAACTAGTCAAAAGAGTTGAAAATTTGTAAACAACCTTGTCTTAGTTACTTTTCTTGTTGCTGAGGCAAAATACCTGACACACAAAGTTAAAAGCGGAAAGGTTTATTTAGCTCACAGTTTGTAGAGGTGTCAGTCCATAATCGGCTGGCTCCAAGGCAGAGTGGCACATGACAGAGTGGCATCACAGAGGAGAAACAGTTCATGGTGCCCACATGGTAGCAAGAGCAACAAGGGACCTTAACAGTGTCTTTCTGACCCTTTTATCTTTTTTTTTGGTTACTGGGGATCGAACTCTGGACCTTGCACTGGTGAGGCAGGCAGCAGAACCACTGAGCTAAATCCCCAGCTGCCCCTTTTTTCTTATCCAGACTACTTAGGGTGGGTAGCACTCACGCCCTTAATCCTAGTACCCTCAGGCCTAGCCCCATCATGAACCAATCACACACTCTAGATTCAGCCACCTCTGAAAAAGCAGGAGGCTTTGGGGGAAATCTAAACACAAGCCATAACATACCTATTGGACTTCAGAAGGGTTGTCACATTTTCCAACAGTTCTAATTCTTCAGTAGTTCTTCCTCACACTGTGCTGAAACCTGCTCACCAGGACATCTGTTCCTGGGTCTGAGGTTTCCCTCACTAGGGCCTCACAAAGCAAATCTAACCTAAGGTCATTAACCCTATCTTTGCCTGGGTGCAGCCTGCATATTAACTCCAAGGGCTCTCTAGGTGAAGGTTGGGATACAGTGTCAGGAAGTACCAGAATTTGGGGAGAGCAGGACTCTCAAGACAAAACAAGTGGCAATGATCACAACACATTATAGTCTCTCTGAGACATAAAAGCACCCACAACTCTCCAGTTATTTACATGGTCTCTCTCTGTCACAGTAGCCCTCATTAAGGTTGTTTACTGCCGGACTGTCCTTTCTTACTCTCTAAGCAAAGATCACGCAGGTTTCTTGAGCTTTTAAAGATGTTGGCATGAGGTCTTGCCACACCTACTTCTTATCTGTAGTAAGTTGCAGCTGCCCACTCTTTGTTCCACACATGCAGATCAAAGCTGGGTGGCACTACTGTGAAATGTTCTCACTGTACCAGTAGGGAACAGGGTTAGATTGTTAGGATGTCTCTAGCCTTCTGGTTAAAAATGGCAATGTTCCTCTTGCACATCAAGAACTAAAACCCAAGGGAAGAAAGGAAAGGAAAAATTATGAGAAAGAAAAAAATGGAAACAAAGTCTATGTAAATAGGGAAGGGTGGTGGGGCTGAAGGGCGCATAGGTAATGGGGGAAAAAATAAGAACTAAGATACATCATGTTCAGGTACAAACACCCAATGATAAATGTAAATGTATTGTATACCTAAAATGTACCAATTAATATATAAATAAATAAATAAAAGAACTAAAACCCTGCCTTCATGGCTGGCAAGTGTTCTTAAGAAACACGCAAAAGGGCCTGGGATTTAGCTCAGTGGTTTCTCTGCCTGCTGTGCAAGCGCAAGGACCCGAGTTCAACCCCCGATACCAAAAAAAAAAAAAGAAACACGCAAAGAACTTTCTGACTTCCCAACCTTGTCTGGTACAAGCATTGCATGTGGTATGAGTCACTGAGCCAGTGTGTTGGACAAAGACTACAAGGACAGGACTGTGCTTGTTTGCCCAAAATAGTTGTTGTCTCCCTTAAAAAAAAATCAGTAGCAAAAGAAGTTCATAGCCAGGCATGGCAGTGTGTCCCTGTAATCTCAGCACTTGGGAGCTTGAGGCAAGAGGCTCACAAACCCAGACCCTGTCAGAAACAGACAGAGACAGAGAGATTCACACAGGAGACCCTCAACATTAGCAAGATATTTTTTTCCAAAGACCTTTCAGACACCCTAATTCACTACATATTACATAATATCTTCCAAAATTACATTGTAAACTATAGCCAGAAAATTTTTTAAAAGTTGTAAGGTTTTACATTTGTTAAAGGTAGGAAAAGAAGCATGCTCTGCAGAGCCAGTTTGGGCCAATTAAAAGTAGGAAAAAAATACACTCTACAGGGTAACAGCACACCACCATGAAAGAGAGAATACAGTGGCCTA